TCTATAATGCACATTCATAATTTTTGTAGTGTAGATTCATAATTTCTATACTGCACATTCATAATTTATGTACTGTAGATTCATAATTTAATAACTATGTGTTCATAATTTGATAACTATACAGTTTAGAAATTATGAATATACATTACAGAAATTATGAATCTACAGTACAGAAATTATGAATGTGTAGTATAGAAATTATTAATCTACATTATAAATTTTATGAATCTACAGTATAGAAATTATAAATGTACAGTATATAAATTATGAATGTATAGCGTGTCCATCATGCACATGGTAGACACGGGTCCATAGCATAATTTTCCGATACGGTGTTTGTCTTTGTTTTTTTTTTTTTTTTTAAGAAAGGTTTATGAGCTTTGGGCTTTTTTTAAAGAAAGGTTTATGAGCTTTAATTTGGGCTTTGTTTGTAGTCTTCCGCATTGAAGCCTAAACTACCTAATACTATGTTTTTTTTTTTTTTTTTCTTTTTTTTAAGGGGCCCCCAAAATTTGGGGGCCCTATGCGGCCGCCCTGGGCAGACTTGCCCAGGGACGGCCCTGATAACTATAGTTCCATAATTGCATAACTATAATTCCATAATTTCATAATTATAATTCCATAATTGCATAACTATAGTTCCATAATTGCGTAACAATAATACCATAATTGCAAAACTATACATCCATACTTGCATAACTATACACCACAATTTCATAACTACAAATTCCATCACAATGGGGACTACACATGCATAAATGCATAACTATATTTTCATAATTGCATGACAATAATTTCATAATTGCATACCTTTCATAATTGCATGACTACAATTCCATAATTGCATAACTATAATTCCATAATTCAATAACTATAGTTCCATAATTGCAAAACTACATATCCAGAATTACAAAACTAAAAGTCCATAATTGCATAAAATCGATGATAACAACTTGTATTTCTCAATCTACACCTACATTGTCATCTAAACCCTTACTAAACTGAACAAAATCTGAACTTGAAGAACTTGGATGTACAAGGTATCCATCCCCAGCAAGCTTGGATATATTTTCCAACACCAAAGACTGAACAACACCCTTTGTACTCAATGCAGCTTTATTTGCAGCACTCCTTCTCCCCCTTGCAAGACTGTACTTCTTTTCAATAACACCACTCCTCCTTTTGTTACGCTCACCTTTCAATCTCCGGCTTGAAGGATTTTGAACACCACCACTTGAAGATGAAACACCACACTCTTCAATATGCACATGCCCAACCTCGGCTTCAACCTTTTTCTTTACATCATCAACAGCCTCGTCACACAATTTCCTAGCTACGCTGCTATCTTGACTAGACACAACTAATCTTTGAAATTTTCTACTAATATCGAACACCCAAATTGATGGAGGAACACCAACATTATAAACCATAGAATCAATGTTGACATTCCTACCATCAATAACCTTTTTAGTCCATCTTTTAAGTATATATTTGTCGGGAATACTAGAAACACAATGTACGTGAAGAATGCGTATACAATGACAACATAGAATTCCCAACTCAGACATCAACTTGCAACTACAAGAAATGTCCAAGTTGGCTGCGTTAAAACTAACCTCATGCCTTATAATATCTATATCTGGCCGCCACACGTGATACTTCTGTTGACGGCCATCATTCAACACCATCTCTTGATGACACGCACTGCCTTTCATGAATTGTTCCTCAAACAGTAAATATATCTCAATCGTGTATACCTCTCTAGCATGTGAAAGAAGTTTCACATGCTCCATCATCATAGCGGGTACCCCTTGAGCACACCGAAAGTCTTCACCGTTCTCTTTACTTCTCCATTCAGAAATTACGCTTACAAACGATGAATAGAAATCACAAAGACCCGCTGTCTTGGACAACCTTCTAGAAATCGAATGATTTGTAGTTTCACTCCTTTGTGATGATAGAATGCCCCCAGAAAAATAGTCCTTGTTAAATGCTAGACACCACTTCTCCCTACAGTCATATAGCTTTTCTAACCAAGTATTCTTATGACATTTATAGTCAGTCACCAACCTGAAAATGGTAAGAAAAAATCCCAAATGTTTATGAAGCAGAATATTAACAAGCAGCATCACCACATCTAACACATACTCAGAATTTCTACTGCTGTATATACATAATTGGAATACTATATGTCCATAATTGATATACTATATATCCATAATCCATACTACTACATTTCCAGACACCACCAGTAAGTTCAACTGCTATATATCCATAATCGATAAACTATATATCCATAATCGGAATACTATATATCCATAATCCATATACTACATTTCCCGGCACCACCACCAAAGTTCAACTGCTATATATCCATAATCGAAATACTATATATCCATAATTGATGCACTATACATCCATAATTATTATACTATACATCCATAATAGTTAAACTATACATCCATAATTCATATGCATATGAAACGTAATGCAATAAAAACGATTAATTACTAACATACCTTGTCCAATAGAATTGAAATTCAGCTTCAGTCTCTGTGTATTTCAACACGTAGTTAAACATATCCAAGAAATTCTTATTGTTCCTTAACGTCTTGATATGCTTCTTTGAATTCTCACCAATATGCCATATGCAAAGACGATGACGTGATGTTGGAAACACTTTAGATATAGCACAGCCATAGCTGCACATTGATCTGTCATAATAGTCTGTGGAGACTTGCCACCCATTGATCTTGAAAACGCTTTAAACAACCACACAAACGATTCTATCCTCTCGTTCATCAAAAACCCGCATCCAAACATTACATTCATGCAATGGTGATTCATCCCTACAAAAGGGCCACAAATCATATCGTATTTGTTTGTGCGATATGTCGTATCATGCACTAACAAGTCCCCAAACACCTCGTAATCTCGTCTCATTTGACCATCCCTCCAAAAAAAACTGCACAACCTTGCATCCAAATCAAGTTCAAAATCAAAGAAAAAATCAGTCTCGGTAGACTGCCTCCTCCTAAAAATTTCAATTAAAGAGTTAGAATCCGTTCCATCCAATCGCTTGACAGTATCCGCAGCCATTGAATTATAAGCATCTCTACTGGTGAAACCAACTAAAGGGGACCCCCCTGATTGGTGTTTTAGGAACCTAATACCATCTGCCAATGCAACACCACTGTCCTTCAAACCTTGTAAATATAAGAGCTGATTATCTCCGACACTCCTATGTGAACGAAGTAGATGACTCTTGTTGAACACACATAACTCGTGATTGTGCACTTTCTCGTGTTTTGTAACTGTCCACAACCCATCATCACCCACGTCAAATTGAACAAACGCTCCACACCCTGTCCTTGTGTCAATTTTGGAATAAGCCTTAACCCCACTGTTTGCCTTATAACCAGCTTTAGAACAACAAAATTTCTTCATTTGAATTGTGTTCGAAGATCCCTTGTATCGTTGATGACCCTTCCTCACACTAAAACCAAGTCTATATGCATAACTGTTATACACCTCAAAATCTTCATCAGCATTACTTACTACCAAACCAACCAAATCTTGATCAACTGCAAATATAACACAATAATAACCATTTCCATTAACATATAATTCCTAACCAGAATTTGCTAATTAAAAGGTAAACCACTATGAATAAACCTGGAATTGATGAAGATCCATCAACATCTACATCTACTTGATCTGAACTCACTGAACCATCCACAATGCCTTCACTAACTACATTATATAGACATGGTGAACATTAATTCAAACAGTTCATCAAACAGCAAAAACAGAGTGCTTATAGATTCTGTATATATAGTTATATGATTATGGAAATATAGTTATACAATTCTGGATACACAGTCACAACAAACTGCCAAAACAGAGTACCCCCTAATTCTGAATATATAGACATGAAATTCTAGAAATATAGTTATGAAATTATGGAATTATTGTTTTCAAATTCTGGAATTGTTGTTATACAATTATGAAAATTACTTACGTGATTTTGCACAACTATTTGCAGATTCTAGACACAAACATCACTACTAATCACATAATCATACAAAAAACCAAAAGGAACAATTGCAAAAACAATAACAAGATCACCTTGAATCGAATGCCAATCACCAACTGTGGAATTCGTCTGCTCTGTTCCATCCTCCATCTAGCAATCACTTTGTAATTCCCGATCCCCACTCCGATTTCGATTTGCGAATGCGATTGAGATTGCGATCGCGATTCCGGTGATATCGAATGCCAATACCACAGCGAACAACTGCCAACGATCGAGTTTGAAACTTGGAAACAAACTCAAAAGGAATTTGGAAGTAAACGCCGTTAACGGAATTTTTTTTTTTTTTTTTTTTTTTTTATAAAACCCCACGTCATTAGGCTAAAACGACGTCGTGTGGATCTGTATGCACCATGCATGGTGCATACAGATCCACAACATAATTTGCCTAAAGAAGGAAGGAATAAAATAATGGACTCAAGCCCAACTAATAGGCCAGATCAAATGAATAATAAATGGAGAGATGAAATAAATAAAAGAGAATGCTGAAATGGAGGCGCAGAATCCTCCTATCGGCATCACCAACTTTCGCAGAATCCAACCTTGTCAATAATGTTGGTTATTCTAAATGAAACAGATTAAATGCTTGGGGTCAGACAATCATTATTGTTTGCACCATGGTCCATACAAGTTGTGTGGACCATATTTTTTATACTGTAAAATAATGTATATTCAGTACAAAAATAATGTACATTCAATACAAAAATAATGTACATTATTTTCAGGGGATGTACATTATTTTTGTATTGAGTGTACATTATATTGTATAATGTACATTCAGTACAAAAATAATGTACATTTAATATATTAAAATATATTTTTTATTATGGTCCATATAACATTGTGTGGACCGGTCCATACAATAATTTGCCGGGGTCAGTGGGGTGACGCTATCTTCATAATTATCTCCTAAAACGAAAGCAACATGTATATAAATTTCCATTATATTCCCTTTCCAAATTACAATTGCTTCAATTCGTTTTGTCAAACCAAAAGGTGCCACTCGATCAAACACCCACAAAACTCTATTATTGTTTTATTTAATGCTCTGCCCGGCCTACATCTTTATTAAAAATGGAAGTGGATGCAAGAAAATTCATAGCAATTTCCATTTCTTAGAGATCAGAAGATGTATATATAATATAAATGCCTCCACATGAATTAGAAGCAGCCAATTAAACGCAGTAGTAATCGTAAGTTAAGCTTTAATCTCCATCCATCCTTCCTTCCTACCTTCCTTAGCTGTGTTTCCACCACCATCATATATTCATATCATGGAATCCACTTCTGAAACTAATCAACTACTGCTCCTTCCCTCATCCTCCTCTTCACTTCCGTGCTGTTGGGACTATGATGTCTTTTTGAGCTTTAGAGGTGAAGACACACGAAAGTCTTTTACAGATCACCTCTTTGCTGCGTTGTGCCGAGCAGGAGTTCACACTTTCAGAGATGCAGAAGAGCTCCGTAAAGGAGAAGACATCTCCACTGACCTCATCAAAGCTATTCAACAATCAAAGATTTCTATTATTGTGTTCTCCAAAACCTATGCCTCTTCCCGGTGGTGTCTTGACGAGCTTGTGAAGATAGTGGAATGTAAAGAAAAGGCAAATCAGGTGGTTCTCCCCGTATTCTATGATGTTGATCCATCTGAAGTGCGCAAACAATCCGGTGGGTTTGGTGAAGCCTTAGCTCAACATCAACAACGATTTGGGACCAAAAAAATTAGTCAATGGAAAACAGCTCTGACCAAGGTTGCAAATTTTTCTGGTTGGGATTTACTGAACGATGCTGATGGGTATCTTGATTTCTCCCTTTTATTTTTAAAAAAATATTAAAACTTTTTGGTAGCATTTTCTGGTTGTCTTCTTCCATTATTCCCCTTATATGATACAATCCGTCGGTCAGTAATTTAGTCATCAACAAAAATTTGCAGGTATGAATCAAAATTAATTGACAAAATTTTAGAAAAGATTCTACAAGTGGTGGACCGGACATTTTTTAATGTTGCAAAATATCCCGTTGGAATTCATACTCGGGTTAGCGAAATACTTTCTTTATTACAAAGTAAATCAAATGGTGATGTTTGTATGATAGGGATTTATGGCATGGGTGGGGTAGGTAAAACAACCTTAGCGAAAGCCATATTTAACCAAATTTCTGAAACATTTGAAGGTAGTTGCTTTCTTGATGTTAGATCAGAATGTTCAAAAGGAGGGAGTGTAGGTTTAAAATGTTTGCAGAAGCAGCTTCTTTGTAATACTCTCAAAACAACGAGATTTGATGTTAACCATGTTGATGAAGGAATTAGTTTGATCAAATTAAGACTTCAATCAAAAAGGATTCTCATTGTTGTTGATGATGTAAACCATGAGAGTCAAATAGAGGCATTGGTCGGAGACCGATATTGGTTTGGTTCAGGTAGTACAATTCTCATTACAACTAGAAATGTTGATTTGTTGAATGGCCTCGGAAAAGATTGTGAGAAGTACAATGCTACGGTGTTAAGTTTCATGGAATCTTTGGAACTCTTTAGTTGGCATACTTTTAAGGACCCAAATCCTTTGGAGGCTTTTGCAGAACTATCGAAAGTGATAGTAAGTTATGCTAGTGGACTTCCTTTGGCACTTACTGTTCTAGGTTCACATTTTCGGTCAAGATCATCAATTCAACATTGGAGAGCTGACTTTGAGAAGTTAAGAAAGATTCCTCATGAAGATATTTTGAATATTCTCAAAATTAGTTATGATGCACTTGACGTTGATACTCAAAGAATCTTCCTTGATATTGCTTGTTTTTTTGAGGGTGGATATATCAGCATAGAAGAGATTGTTACAATATTGAATGCTTGTGGTTTCTTTGCTCAAAGTGGAATTAAAACTTTAATTGATAGATGCTTGTTAAGGGGAAAAGATTATTATATGCATGATTTAGTTCGAGATATGGGAAGAGAAATTGTTCGTCAAGAATCTCTTATGCTCTATGAAAAAAGAAGTAGATTATTTTCATGTGATGAGGTTTTGGATGTACTCGTGAACAACAAGGTAAACTTAAATACACTTGATTTACTGTAATTTATTATTTTGGTATGTATGTTTTTCAAATCGTTTGCTTAGTAATTACATTTTGTACTATTTTAATAATTTATTTGTCATTAATTTACGTTTTACATTTTGATTATACTTATGTCACTTAGGAATGTTTTAACGCTATTATTATTATTATTATTATTATTATTTTGGTATTTGTTAGGGAAATGAAGCAATTGAAACAATGATTATTGATTTGCCAAAGGAAGTGCATTTGAGTACTAAAGTATTCTCTAAAATGAGCAGGTTAAGATTACTCAAAATCTTATCCATGAATGCCAAGGGACCATTAAAATACTTATCCAAGGAGCTTAGATTGCTTTTTTGGAATAATTGTCCATTGAGACACATATCGTCTGATCTTTGCCTGAAGAAGCTTGTTATTTTAAAAATAACAAGTAGCAATATTAAGGAATTTAAACCTAAGTTGCAGGTTTGAAGTTTATATGAGATTTTTTTTTTTTTTTGACATTACATCTTTTTAAAAAAGTTATCATAATTTATTTAGACAAAATGATTGGAAAAAACTTACTACAACTTTTTATATTTTGATTTAACAGCATTTTAGATGCTTGGAGATCTTAAGGTTTGATGGTTGCAAGCAACTTAAAGGATCCCCAAATTTTACTGGAGCACAAAATCTAAAGACATTGTCCTTCTATGGATGCTCAAAATTGGTTGAATTGTCGCAATCTATTGGAGATTTAGAAAGACTCGTTGAGTTAAATATGAGTTTTTGTGAGAATCTTAGAGCTCTCCCCAATAGTATTTGCAACTTGAAGTCGCTTAAGTGTCTTGATCTGAATTATTGCTCCAAAATTAAAAAATTGCCTACTGACTTGGGAAAATTAGAGCTACTAGGTGTGCTTAATGCTAGATTTACTTCAGTGTCACATGTGCCTTTTTCTTGTAGATCTTTGAGATATCTCTACTATCTGACACTAGGGCAGTCCAAAGATATATGGGGGTATGAGTATAGTAGTGTGGAGCCTATTTCTTCTTCCGATGCTAATTTGTGTTCCTTGGAAACTCTACAGGCTCCTTACCAATCTATGCAACATTTAGATCTTCAAATGGGGAGTCTATCATTCTTGACATTTCTAGACCTAAGCAATAGTTACTTTAGTACCATTCCCTTTAACCTTTCTCATCTTTCTCAGCTAAAAGAGTTAGTTTTGGACAACTGTCAGAACCTTCAACTGATTAAAGATCTTCCACCTAACCTAGATGACCTTATTGCGCGCCATTGTCCCTTGCTGGAGAATATACAAGTTGTATCAGGGCTACATTTGTTGTCTGTTTCTATCTACAAAAGTTTGATTATTGAGCCTCGATGCAGTTTTGAAAAGCTCTGTTGTTTAAAACTGTGGGATAGTTACTTGGATACCCTTCCCTTTAACCTTTCTCATCTTTCTCAACTACGAAGTCTCTGTTTGTATAATTGCCAGAACCTTCGAATGATTCAAGATCTGCCTTACTCAAGTTTAAACCATTTGGGGATTCATAACTGCAGTAATTTGATTGAAATTCAAGGCATAGAGGATTTTGTTAATTTACGTTCAGTCCACCTCATGGATTGTAGCGCTCTAGCAAGTAATTCTTGTGGTGCGAAGTTGTTCAAGGTTAGTGATCTATCTCTGAAATTGCATGCCTCAGCTCGATCTAATGCTTTCATGCTAATTCTTCTCATGCATTTATTAATTTCTTTCTTAACATATATATATATATATATATATATATATATATATATATATATATATATATATATGCACGCAGGCATTTTTACAAAACCCAAACCTTCACGGGTTTAGAATGTTGGTTTTAGATGACATGGTGGAAGAAGTAGTAGTTGGATGTTCATCATCAAATTACACATTGCCATTGTTTCCGTCAAAAACACGGATAGTTATAGTTGCGAGGATTTCATGTTCTTTTAGTTGTGCGTGTTATTTAACAAACAAAACCACAGAGAAGTTATTTGAGCATGTGGTCGACAAAAGAAGGAATAAGGTGTTGAAGTGGAGAATATATGATCATTTTATAGAAGCCAATAAAGTGGAAGAAGTAAAGGTGGTTGTAGAGTTTTATTCACCGCTGGAGCAAGGAGCTGAAGAGAATTTCAGAATTGAAACATGTATAGTTTATAAAGAAGAGGGTGAGGTTTGCTTCTTTCCTGTGAACCCAAATAAGGTCATCATATTCCGCCCTGACCATGATTCTATACACACTGAGACAGATGTATATTCAAGGGTTAATATAACACTCACAATTAGCTCTCCAACATCTGATTCAAAAATGGAAACCCAGCGCAATAGGAGATATGAAGAAGAAGAAGGGAGTTCGAAGCCTTTATCTGGATGTGTTGGCTACTTTTTCTGACACACAATTGGCTGGGGCCTGGCCTGGGGGCACAATTTTGGGCAGAAGGGAAAACAGTGGTAGGCAATCACCTCTTGGCACTTTGACTTTGAGTGGTTTTTTAATCTTTTTTTGTTTTTTTGTTTTTTTGTTTTTTGTTGTATATGTGATTTAGCTCATGTATAGTTAGGGACCTTATTTACTAATGTTGTTTATTATATGAGGAAATAACTAGTTTTTCACGAGCATTGCGCGAATGGGATAATACCCAATGATTATTTTAAATAAGTACTTCAAAGTATATTAATGTAAGATTATATAAGAAATATTCATGCATATGTAATTGAATGTTGAATTTGTTTATTTAAATCAATAATTCAAAGTATATAAACGCAAAATAATATATGAGAGATTGATTATAATTGTCACTAAAATAAATGTTTGCATCTTTGTAATAAGGCTAGTCTAAATACTTAGTCTAAAAACGATATATAGTCTAAATAAATACTAGTTTTGGTTTAAATTTATCTTAAGTCTTCTTAATTTTCTTTTGGGTAGCATTGTATTGCCTTCATCTTCAGTACTTGTCAGTTGTTACCTTCAGTCAGCATGTCAGCCACCAGGTTTTCGTATTCATGCACATGTTCAACTATGGATAACGAGTCAGTCATTTTGAAATTGAGCCAGCGCCCAACTGCATATTTCCTCTTTCCAGCGTCATCAGTTCCGATCCATATTCCTGTTGCAGTAAGTCCCAAATAGTTTTGGCGGACTTCTGCTTTGAAAATATATCAAAAATGGCGTTGGTCATGCGCTGCAGAATTGCTGCTCGCGCATTCTTGTAATCACGTTCATACTTGGTGCGAACTTCTTGGGTTATAGTTGTGGCCCTTGTTGTAGGCGTTTTTGGGTCAGGAGTGGCGTCCAGAATAGTAACTTGCATTTCTGGCTATAGTGGAATGTATATTAATTGGTTTAAAGCTGCTATACAACTTCTGAATTACTTGATTTGTCTTGCAGATTGGTGCATTTCACACACTAGAAGTTGAGCTTCACAGACCTTTCGTTTTGGGGAAGGTATATCTTTACCTTTCTTCCCTTCTGTGATGTTTTTCAGTGCTAATATTCCTTATCCTTGTCTTAGGACGTCTGGGATTCACTTGCTTTGGAGGCTCTTCGTCAAGCTGCTGGTATGCCATTTTCTGTTGAATTAGGAAAATGACTCCTCCTATCATTATGTAACTTCTTTTTCTCCATAATTAGTTAGAGTTGTTGACATTTGGTAAATTATATTTCTTACTTCCTTACTCCTACTTTGCCCCTGGGCCCTTGGTACAAACCTTTTTACTTTTCTGAAATGCTTAGTTAATAAATAACTGGCTTGATACCAGCATCTATAGTTTTTTCTTTTTAGTTATTTAAGCTTTTCCTCATCTTCATTGAAGTGGTATCCGGTATAAACTACAAACTGTTAATTTACATCAGTTGATTGTGCCAAATTATAAATGGCTATCCAAACACTTCTCATCACAGATGAAGTCTTCAGGTTAGTTATTTGACTTTTCGGTAACATGTTTTTCTTATGCAGCATGCCATATTGCTATCTGTAATGAGCTTTCTGTTGTTTTAGTTAGAGAAAAGAACAAGGAGGTACTTTTAATGATTGGAAACTGAAAAAAAGAAACAGGAACGTCGCAAGACTTTCCCCAACAAGAGTTTTAGGCTTTTTCCTCGCACTAAGGATAAAGGATTCGATGTCCTCCTCTCATCTAGAGGTTCCAATATATAGTGCAAAGAAATAAATAAATATAGAAAAGGAGATAATTGTGCCTCTGATTTATTCTTGTCTAATCCCTTAAGTTAAGCTCTCTCCCTAATCTGTGCATTCTTATTTTCCTAAGTTCCATTCTTGCATTCCTTCCTCTTTTTTTTTTTTTTTTTTTGCCTGATTTCCATTCTTGCATTCATTCCTTTTATTGCGTGAGTAAACTACCCATACCTTTGGGTGTGTATCATGTTTCTTGAGCACTTCACAATAGTTTCTTTGTATAAGGAATCGAGCTCTCTTTGCACATCTTAGTAGTAATAGGTGCACCTGGTTTGAATGTTTTTATAATCTTATCCATGTTTTTTTTATCCTTTAGTGTTAGATCATTCAATTTGTCTTTAGCTTTGCCCTTTTCTTCATTTATTTTACATATTTTATCCTCTTAGCATTACAAGTTGTGAATCTTCATTTTGGAAACTCGAACTACTTGTCATTACCTAGATAGGAATCACTTGCCCTCTTTCAATAATTGAAATTTAAATGTGATTCATAGCAGACAGGGCCTGTACTTTTATTAAGACTCTTTATTTATACTAATTGAAATTCATGAGTTGCCACAAGGATGTCTCCCCCAATGGCCCAATTATTTATGAATCTTGAATTGATTGATACCATTCCTTTTTGACAAAAAGAATTCGACAGACTTTGATCAATAGATAACTTTTCAAAATTAAAAATAAAAAAGATAGATGACTTCCCTGTGCCTCAGCCTGATTAACAAACCCATTTTCAACTTGGAAGCATCTAGTTTATTTTTAATGCCCTGCCGAAGTTTTATTAAATTTTTAAGGTATTACCCCAATCTAGTGTAAGTTTTGTTGACTCAATGATTGAAGTATTTCTAGGAATGCATTTCTTACTTAAGAAGGTACCAAATCATGTATTTACCAGGAACTCTGATGTAGCAACGAGACAAAAATATGCCTATTTGGTGAATGCGGTGAAGAGTTCAGGGGGAACGACACACACCTTCTCCTCTATGCATGTCTCTGGAGAACGTAAGTACATTAATTGATTTCACTCATTTTCACTTTACTAGTTGAGCTTAATGCCTGATACCCTTCTCTGTTGTTTGTGTTAGTATGCATGAACCCAAAAAGCAAAACTTGATTATAGTAGCAGAATAATAGGGGCGTGAAAAGAGTTTTTATTTTTTATTTTTTATTATTTTTATTTTTTAACTACAAGCTAAATGATGAGGGGGTTGGGAGGCGTGGATGATGATATTGGTGCTTCTGTTTTTCTCTGTGCACAATTTTTTTTTACTTCATGTACATATATTTCCTTTCCAACCCCAACTTGTATTCATGCCCATTGACAAATATGGATTTGAAATACAGAACTGACAATGATGAGCGGTATTGCTGCAATCCTTCGGTTTCCATTGCCCGACCTAGATGACATAGAGATGTGATGGAATGGAGGAAGGAGTGCTTAATCACATTATATTGATGTGAGATTCCTCAAAGAGAGCTTAGTAGGTGATGATTGAATACATATACTTCCCATTCGCCTTATATTATAAAATGGATTACTTGTATTGTATTGTATATAGTCTTCACAAGAACAGAGCTATCATCTTCATAAGCAAATGGGATTTGGGTATTTGATATACCGCGTCATTTGGCATCTCACTCAAGTGGAATAATATTTCTGTCACATTTTTTAAAAGTTTCACATTTTGTAGATGTGCCTTTAGTGGGGAAGGTATATTGGTGCATTTCACACACTAGAAGTTGAGCTTCACAGACCTTTCGTTTTGGGGAAGGTATATCTTTACCTTTCTTCCCTTCTGTGATGTTTTTCAGTGCTAATATTCCTTATCCTTGTCTTAGGACGTCTGGGATTCACTTGCTTTGGAGGCTCTTCGTCAAGCTGCTGGTATGCCATTTTCTGTTGAATTAGGAAAATGACTCCTCCTATCATTATGTAACTTCTTTTTCTCCATAATTAGTTAGAGTTGTTGACATTTGGTAAATTATATTTCTTACTTCCTTACTCCTACTTTGCCCCTGGGCCCTTGGTACAAACCTTTTTACTTTTCTGAAATGCTTAGTTAATAAATAACTGGCTTGATACCAGCATCTATAGTTTTTTCTTTTTAGTTATTTAAGCTTTTCCTCATCTTCATTGAAGTGGTATCCGGTATAAACTACAAACTGTTAATTTACATCAGTTGATTGTGCCAAATTATAAATGGCTATCCAAACACTTCTCATCACAGATGAAGTCTTCAGGT